AGCTGAGCAGCAGGAGGCAGATGTGGAGGGAGGAGAGTTAGCCTTGCTCTCTCCCCTCATCACTCACTTTGTGGGGAGAGTAATTGCTGCAAACTGCTCCATCGGATGGGCAGGATCCACTGCCCATCCCAGAGCCTGAGCAGGATGTGGCCCTGGCTCTGTGGGGCCATGCTGGTCCTCGCTGCAGCTCAGAGCAGCCTCTGTCCATCTGAACCCCGGCACTCAGACTGCGCTTTGCAGCATCTGTCATGGGAGGGGAGCGTCTGGGCACTTGTTACCCCAGGGAGGATTTCATGCCGACAGCTGAGCAGCTGAAGAGACATTCATTTGGTGATCAGGGGCTGATCCTTCCCTGCCCCTCCGACCTTGCCCCGGTGGGATTCCCAGCTGCTGCAGAAAATTCAGCATCGCCCCTGGTATATCTTAGAGTCATCCCCAGCTGTAATTTCCCTCTGACTCCCCAAAACAGCCCCAAATCTCTTTCCATCCCCCTCCATACACCTCCCAAGGACCTGGCTCTGGCCCTACTGGGGAATTTGGAGTGGAGGAGGAATTCAGGTTGTGCTGAGCTCCTGTTTGCACAGGAATGTACATCACGGAGGGGCCGAATTCTCTCCCATCGCCTGCGCACAGCACTCTTGGCAGCTCATGCTACTTTTCTCTGCCCCTCCTCTACGCTGGAGCTCAGGAGGGAGCACATCAACTGGCCAAGAGACCTGCTGCCGGCCGGTGGAGAGGGCTGCTGGGCACATTGGGCTATGCTGGTGAGCTTTTGTTGGGTCTGACTTTTTGTCTCCATGCTTTGCGATGTGAGGAGGGGCACGTATTCAACTGGTGCCTCGATCCGTTGTTTGTTTAGCCCTGTAGCCACATGCAGGGTTGTATGATAGCTGTGTTTGCAGAGCAAATAAGGCTCTACGAGCAGAATTCACCATTTTTCTGATTCTTAGAGGAGTGAATCAATGTTACCTACTAGCTAGAAGCGTGAGCTGTAACTGCTGAATAGGACTGTTCATTTTGCCTGGTAAACACAACTGTTAATCTCTTTGGGAATAATAATAATTAAAAAAAAAGCTTAAAAAAACATACTATTTGCTCCAAACCTTCCACCCTTTCAGCTGGGAAATGGGGGCAGGAGTCTGTTAAAATGGTAAGAAAAAAATGGAGCCACTTATCATTTGTGAAAAGCAGTAAAGTGGTTATTGCTTGAAAGCCTTGCTTCTGAGCCACGGTAGCATGCTGAAGGAGAAAGGGGACAGTTTCATACACTTACGATGGCTTTTCTGTGCCTAAAATACCTGTCTCTTGAATTCCTCTGCAGAGAGCCAGCGGGTTTTGCTGTACAAATGCAGGAGAGATCCATGTGGAGAGTCACAGCCCGAATGCCTGTGGGAATAGTTCGCTGAAAAACAGTGAGCGCGGTTATTGCTTGTGCAGCGAATACAGCTTTGAATGCAGTGTTTAAAGAATCGTTAACATCTTGTCTTGATCATCTGATGAGCTTTCCTGATGGCATTCAGCTTTGGGCTCTTCTGAAGTGTTTTAGCCAAGTATTTACTATCTGACTATATTACAGTAAATGCAGATCATTCACACTGCTGGCTTTAATCCCTATTCCTTGGCCAAATTCCAACCTGAGTGATTTCATTTTTGCCTGTTGATGCCTAAATTCCTTATTGCCATTTTAGACTGCTTCTTCCCTTCGTGTCCTACCATGCAACATCATGTTTCAGCATGTTGTTAATCAGCCAGCTTCCTCCATCCCAGAGATGACTTCAGTTCAGGGGTTGCTGTAATTCCCTTTGAGATCCTTCAGGCTGTAAAGCAAATGATGTCATTGCTTTGCTTAGCAAGTGTCACTTTCTCTCAGAAAGTCAATAAATGCCTCCACTTCCTTTAGTACATTCCTGCAAAATGTGGTGGAAAACAAGAGGCAGTCACTAGCAATTCTTCCTTTGAAATCCATCCTGGAGGAGAGGGCTGGGCTGCTCCCTTTAGCTGTGAAAGGAGACGCCTTCGCTCAGCAGAAATGCAGCTGGAGGGAGGATGAAGCCCCTTGCACCCCAGGGTGCTGTCCTGGGCAGTGTGCAGGGAGGGGTTCCTGCCCCATGCCATGTGCTGCAGCCTTCTAGGGTGCAGGTTGTGGGATGCTCTGCTTGCAGGAGGGGAGCAAACCCAGCTTTAGGGCACCTGGATCCCAATGGCCACTTAGGGCAGAATGAATTCCTTTCTGGGAGGAGTGGAGAGCTGAGAACAAGAACAGTCCCATAAATTCCAGCTGACAACAAATACTTTAATGTGAACTCCATCACCAGATGCCAAGTAGGTCCAGGTCTATCTGGAAAAAACAGCCACAATTGCACAAAGCCATAAAGATAATGAGCGCAGGGCAGGCTGGTGCATAGCAGGAGAGGTAGCTAGAGATGTCGCTGCTATTTTTACCCTCACCCCACTTCCTCTGCGAGGAGGTTTATATTTAGCAGCCTGTAGCTGCTGGCACTCCAGAAAGTGGCAAGGGGGAGAAGGATTTGGACTGCAATTTGTGGAACACAATTTTTTGTCATTGCCAAGGTATTTGCCTTCTAAACCACTCACACTGTTTTGAGGAGAGCAAGTAGACAGGGAGGGAGATGGAAAAACAGACCCCTTCCCTTCATCCACTTCTTCATCCACCTGGAGATGGGGTATGTGTTATATTCCCTGTATTTTTCCTAGTCCTGGGGTCAAGGATTGTGGATTAGTTTGGTGGAGGATTGTCAGAGCAGGAATTGCTCAGCAGCTGATGCATCTTCCCCTGGCCTTCTGACTAGCTTTTGCTTGCGCCACTTCAGTAGTGTCAGCAAAACACTTCAGATCTGTTTAGTTCCTTGGGTGCCTGCAACACTAGTGGCATTTCCACACACAAGCAATGCCTCGGTTAAAACTTGCTTACCTTGCAAGGTGAGGAGCCCAGTCAGAGCCACAGGCTGGCAAAATGGTCTCCAAATGAAGTGTCAAGCTTTGCCTTCCATTCAGAAGGAACAGCACTGGTTGGAGACTTTATTCTTGGCCATGAGGAAAGCACCAGCATGGAGACTTTGTTAATGCAGCATTCACTGGTGCCAGCATCTTTGTTGTCAAAGCATGTTTCTGTAGTGCTGAGAAAACATTTCAATGTCTGAAGCCTGAAGTGGATGTGTCTGGCATCCTCCTGCCTCCTTTGCAACTCAAAGCAGCCTCCAGCCTCCCTTCCCACCCCCAACCAAATCCCCCAGCCCTGATTCCAGGTGCACAAGCCTTGCAGTCCAGCCTTCAGCTTTAGGTTTTGGCAGCATTAAAGGTGGGAGATGAATGGGGATGGTTGAGGGGGGCTTCAGGTGAATCCCAGGGATTTTCAGGGGATTGCACCCACAGCAGGGTGCCATGCCTCACAGCAGAGCATGGCAGACACCCAAACGGAGTGTTTATATTGCTGATGGATTATCTTTTAAGCTTTCAGATGCAGGCATGTCAACCCAAGTGTTCCTGTTGCCCTGGCAACGCGATGCATTAGCTCCCCGGGATGCTGTGTCTGATCTCATCAGTCGGGAATGTCATCACCGTTTGTTTGTGCTGATAAGCCCCGGTGTGGGCTGGGGGGGTGTGGGGGGAGCAGGGGAAGGAGGCTGCTCAGCTGCAGTGGGGACACCCAGGAGCAGGGGACTGACGTGCTCCAGGGGTGCAGGAGAAATCGCAGGATGTGTGTGTCGGTGCAGGAAAGAATCATTCTGTCTGGCTTTTGATGCCTGTTTGGTACCAAGGGATGATCTTTCCCTTAAGATCCCAACTTGGCTGCTGGATCCAGTGCTGTTAATGCAACATCCTCCACCAGACAGGTTAGAGGATTGAGATGATAAAGGCTGGTGGAGGAGCAGCCCTACACTCATCAGATTGGGAAAGGGAGAGGGACAGACCCAAAGCTCCTGGGGCCTGGGACTGGAAGGGGCAGAGCTGTGGCTGGTTGGGGGTGAGACGCTGATGTCTGCAGGTCCGGGGAGCAGGGACCACTGGCTGTTTGCTACGTCTGTGCTCAGCAAGAGGAATGCAGTGGGGATGGTTCTAAAGACCAAGCCCTGCATGGACAGCTCTTGCAGCCCCGTCCTGTCTTCAGTGCTGGGCTCCAGACAGTCCTGGCAGGTGCCAAAGTAGGAACAGCAAAGCAGCGTGTGGCTCTGAGACGCCCAGAGCGAGTGAGCTCAGCCTGCTCGTGTGGCTGCTCAGACTCGGCACGCTTCGCCATGTGCCCCTTCAGGGTTTTCTTCTTTTAAGGGTTTGATGGCTTTAATCAGATCCCTGGCTAAGGCGATTCTAGTGCCTGTACAGGATGAGTCATTCCAGAGCTTGTGAGCAAGCTGTGAGCTCAGAGCATCTCCCCTTGCTGTGGCTCTGGGGATCCCCCCGGCCGGTACTGGCTCCACTCAGCATTTTGCTGCTGGCTCAGGAAGTCTTTCTTGCAAGGGCAAAGCAGAGACCAAACTGCTCGGAGAGAGGTGCCTCTTTGTACAGAGAGGAGTGTGGTATTGAATCTTTTCCATCACTGTTTACTTTCTTGCTTTCCTTCTATTTCTACCTTGCTTT